CCCTACCCTCCCCGTATCCTGTGACCACCGGGACCTCTCAAGTACCGCATCAGTCCACACTGATGTCGATGGAACAGGATACCGGGGCACTGCCACGGCGCAGTGCCAGGCTCGCAGTTCGTGCTCGACCTACGGTACCTCCACGAACCAAGGCTCAGCAACAAAGACTCAGCAGGCGGACGGCTCCAGCGGCATCGAGTACAACATTGACGGTACCGGACACCACCGGAGTTCTTCCCGCATGCCTGATCCGAAGGGCCAGTGAGCCGTTGGCTGACTATTTTGGGCGGCTACAGGTATTTACAGATGCCGTAGCTGCCGCCAAGGCTCAGCAGGAGGCAGCAGCGGCAGAACGTCAGCGGCAAGGCGGCAGCCCAAGCTCAACAGACTGCTGAGGCTGACGCAGCGGCACGAGACCAACGGAATGCCGCCAGTACGGAGTCCCTGATTCATAGTGAAAGTCAGTGGACAACGTTCCTCCAGGACATGATCTTTGTGCCTTCGGACGCGCAGGCAGATCCGACACCGGCGGAGGCAGAGAGGACTCACCTGGCTAACTTGATGTTGGGCATGATGAGAGGCATCATGTGGAATAACACACTGCTGCAGGCACATCTGCGCACGGAACGACAACAGCGACAAAAGTACCAGCAAGACATTGCTGTTTTAACAACTGCCATCCGCGCCGAAGCAACGCAGCAGTAGCAACAACAGCAGCTGTTGAACTCCGCTCTCGCACGCATCAACAGCATTGAGGCTAACGCCTCAGCAGCGCCAGGCTGCACGACAGACGCGACGAAGCAACTCAACGAGCGCATCGATCACGTCGTCACCATCATTGGCGACGTAGGTGTTTTCAATGGGCCGGTCACGATCAGTAGCACGGTGGCCGCCATCAAGACGGACATCACCAAGCTGCAGACGAGACCGGACGCCACTACAAAGACTTACAAGATGCCGCACTTCGACATCAGCAAGTTCGACGACTACAACAAGTCGGACGCCTTGACATGGTGACAACGTTTCCTCACGGAAGCATCATGCCGCACCGTCCCGGCATACGACATGATGAAGGCACTCTACTTGCAACTAATTGGAGGAGCGCAGGCTTGGATGAACCATCTGGCGGCTACCAACAAATGCACCATCGCCGACCTCCACACGCACATCACRTGGAATGAGTTYRAGAARCTATGGTTCACCCGGTTCATGGTCCGCAACGTCGTGAAGGCGGCCATGAACGAGGTGTACACCTGCTCTCAAGGAAATATGCCAACTCGAGACTGGACAACCAAGTGGCAGAAGATAGTGACCACGCCWGGATTCGATTTGAGTTTTCCAAATCAACGATCCGAGTTCTTCTCGCGATCGTGTGCGGGACTGCGGTCGGCACTCAGCAACGAGTACGACTATGACACATTCCAGGCCATTCTGGATCGTGCGAACTTAGTCATCCAAACGGATGACAAGGCCGCAAACGAACGGCAGTCCCAGCCGCATTACGTGGCTAAGCAGGGCTATCAACGTCCGACACATAACAATGCCGTGATTTCTGAAGAAACAGACGATCTCCACGTTGCAGCAGCATCCTCGAGTGATGGAGGAATTGTAGCAGCACTCCCGCCGAAGCGTCCCAACAGAGTTCGGAAGAACAAGGCGACACAAGAAACAGCATCGACGGGAACTGGGCAGCAGCCATGGACGACTTACAAGATAACCAAGGATGTCTATAACCTTCGTCAAAAGTACGGATACTGCCTCTGGTGCAACGACGTCGCGCATGTGACCGCACAATGCCCCGAAAAGGGCAAGGCACGTGCACCCCGTCCAGCAAACTCGGGAAACTGAGTTACGCAAGGAGAGGGGTGACGTCTCTCCTCACTCCGCCGGACCCGGTTGCCTTGCTAGCAATCGATGTCACTACCGGGGAGCATGCGTTAGTCGCTGATTCTCATGCCACGTACAAGGATTATGCCGCCCAGCTGGTACCACCATTAGACCAGCCAAGCCACGTGCACTTAGCTAGCGTATGCGCAGCCTGTACACCGTCGGCAAGTGATCCGGTCAGTTCGCCACTGTTTTCCGAGGGCTCGATGGCGTGGTCAAGACTTGAGGAGCTTGACCCACTCACGAGAGAGGATTTCGCTTGGATACTTCTACCCTCGACCGGAGCCTTGCCAAGGCGGCATTGCAATGCCTTGATGACAACTCTACGCTTCTATTTGCACACTACAGTACCAGCTCCGTTGACGGACGACGGGGTAGTGGTTGTCGATCTCCGCTCCTATCTTGCGAAGATTGACCGCGAGTACGCCACCCAAAGGTACGCCGATACCGACGCACCTTTGCTCTATATCCGCATTCAAATCGGAAAGGCAACCTGTAGTGCCTTGATTGATTGCGGAGCGTCTCGCAACTTTATGAGCCAAGCCTTTATGGCCCACGCAGGTCTTGGCCCGCGTGTTCAAAGGAAGACGCAACCTACGCAAGTTACACTCGCGGACGGCCGCACGCAAAAGTCAATTGACCGATGCGTTGACGACGTTCCGGTCTACTTTGCGCCACTTGCGTGCGAGCCGGTGTCTTTTGACATCCTCGACACCAAGTTCGACATGATTCTAGGCATGTCTTGGTTGCGTAGCGCCGATCATCMGGTGAACTTCCATGAYCGAACCGTTCACATCCGTGATCGGAACGGAGTGTTAGTCCCATGTACGGTCGCGACCCCTCACACTTCCATTGCTTGTCACATGGTTTCCGTTGCGAGAATTCGCGACGCCATTGCTCGGAATGACGTCGAGGAGATGGGCCTTGTATTCTTGCATGCTCTCCCCTCGCCGGACGGACCAGC